ACAGATATTTGGTTTAATTGATTAAATAAGTTCAAAGATGTACTACTCCATAATCTTTAGTCCATACACCTACCATCGCAGCGTCAAGACTGCTAACTAATCAAACCTACCAATTTAGCAACCGTTAAGTGGTTACTAAATGTAAAAGTGTCTAGTGTGTTTTCCACGTAAATTCATATGCTTTCTGCAGATTGTAATCTTTCTCTCTCTATATTTTATATATACTACGCCATTCTTCTTGCTTTTGATGAGTTAATTATTATAAACTACACACCTCAAGATTCATGGTATCTATTAAGTTGTTCATATATATATATATATATATATATAACACTACGTACCCCACATTATTTTACTTCAGAGTTAATTATAAACTGCAACACCTCCTTAAGATTCATAGTATCTATTAATTTGTTCATGTATATTTTTCCAATCGAATTAATTTTGTCTCAACCTCGTCAAATACATAGGTAACTAAAGGACATACAAATGCAAAGTATGTTGATTTTTGGTACACCTAACTCATTGTTTCACCTTTATATTTCTTAATTATATGAGTTGCCTTTTTCAAATCTTTTAAATTTTAGTGGGAATTAGTACATAATAATTTTTTTAAGAATCATATATATAATAACAGATCAAATAATATAATTGCTTTTGCATGGTGCCATGGGAAAGTGATTAATATTGGCTCTCGGTTCATTATAGCTCTTTCGGGTTTGATTTATTGTTTTTCATGGAGTATTCACCTAACTGCTCTGTCCTCAATTCAAGGAAGTTAAATAAGTCTCCTTAATGTTGTCTTCTGATTTTGCATTTTAGGAGTCCACCTCATTATTGGCACCAATCTCCTCCCCCTGGGCCTCATCTTTATAACCTGTTATATGTGTATAGAGATTGGACAGTGATTGGTAGCCTGTTATCTATGTATAGAAATTAGTACTCATTAATTGGATTTACAAAAAATTAGATAAAAATATTTTAAAATTATGTTATTTTAATAATATATAATAAGAAAAGACTAAAATAGCAACATTTTTACTTTAAAAAGTAGGTTATTTTAATTTTTTTAATGATAATTTATTAAAATAATAAAGTTTTGAAGTGTTTTTTTACTTAATTTTTGACAAGTCCAACTGATAAACATTTTCCCCATATGTATATATGGATGCTACTGTTGGAATATATAGTCAAATTAGTCAATGATTAAGATTTAGAATTAAAAAAAAAAAAAAGAAAAGAAAAGAAAAGAGAAAACTTCGTGTTTTCAAGCCAACAGCTTGTTTATATTTTGAGACTAATCAATCATTTTTCAATTCAATTAAAAACAAATCATTCACAACGGGTTAATTAAGAAATTTACAAGGTGTTTATACCTAAATTAAAAATTTCAATGACCGGTTGCCACGTGTTAAATTGAGTCCAGCCATTGGTTTGCAGTGCGCCATGTCAGCGGGTCTTGCTGTTGATCTAGAGTGGTCCTGCTAAAAATTTGCAACCCAGACTACAGTTGACGTGGAAGGCAAGGAGAGTTTGGATTAAGGCAAAATTCTTTAAGAAAAAATCCAATAAAGGACTATCATGTGTCAAGTTGGGGCCTTAAATTGATCCAAGTAAGCGCCACATCACCAAGCTGCAGTTGATCTAGAACATGATTTAGTGCAGGCTGCAGCTCAAACTAGAGGGGGGATCCCATGTGACAAGATAAAATGCATATCTCTTTAATCAAATTTTATATGAATTAGGTGACTAAGAGAGATTTTAGAGGATATAAGGTTAGGATTAATTAGAGTTTATTAGGAGATCAAATACACCTAGTAAAATTGGAGTAAAAATAGGAAACTGCTGTCAAAACGTGGAAATAGACAAAAACGCACAGTGAGTGGTGAGAAGTGGACCAAAAATCATGGAAAGTGCTCTAGCATCAAGGAAAAAGAGAGAAATGGAGGAAAATTCAGTTTTCCCCAAGCCTACCCCTCTCAAAAATCGCCCAGCGACCCTTGTTCTTAACTTTCAATCGTTCTATTAGTTTTCTGCACAGATTCCATACTCCAACTTGTAGGTTTCTTGTTCATTGTTGTTTTCTTGCACCTTTGGATTGTTAAACTTGAAAGTAAACTAGCCTTGTAATTCAGGTCTCTCTTATTTATTTGGTTAGTGATTTCTTTTATAAATTCTACTTCATTAAGTGTTTAATTTTAGGGCTGTCTGTTTACTTCCACCGTGATTTTATCTATGAAAAGTTCATGCTTTTTAGAAGTTGTTTCTTTGCATGTTTGATTAATGATAGATCTCATCAATTTCCAGCTTTCAATTAAAGTTCTTAGTCTTTAAAATTATTCAAGGTAGTAACCCATTTTACATAACTCCACGTTCTGTTTTGCATCATCATCAGAGGTGCAAAATAATTCATAAACAAAAGTCCTTTCCAACCAACCTACATGGAGGCTGACCCCTAGAAAGGGGGAGTCATTGAAGAACTCTTATTTTTTTCATTTTTAGACAAAATAAATGACATGTCCTAAATCCAAATTCACGTGATGGGACTAGCCAAAGATTTTTGAAGAAACACAAGGAAATTATCTTTTCATCATTTCATCATAATTAAACTCAGAAAATCAAAACTTGGTAGAAAGAAACAAACTCAGTTACCAACTGGTTGAGGTTAGTTTTCTTTCAAATTTCAATATTGACAGAGAATATTATGCACAATCCAATTAATTTATTAATTGAACGCTTGATCAGTAAAAACGCATCTGGAAACGAGAACACAATCAATGCAGGCATTTTAGGCGTTTTTGCTCAAAAGCAAAATAAGATATGTCAGGTAATTAAGCACCAGGAGATAACGACGGCTGGATTAATTAATTTTTTAATATTAGTAACATTTCTTGAATTTTGACTGAACCAGCATGTAACACATGTTCATGAAAACAGGTAACAGCAAAGTCGCATTTTCCTAAAAAAAAAACACACATGACACATGTTAAAACCTCCGAACAGATTAAAGATCAGGCCACATTCGTCTTTTTTTTTTTTAATATTTAATGATAGATTATATAAAAAAATATTTTTTTTAATTTTTTTTTATCTAACTCAAAGTTCGAATATAAGATTTCTAGTTTAAAATATCAAATTTTTAACTAATTAAGTCACTTTTTGAGGTGAGGCACATTCGTTTCCATGCTAAATATATCGAACCTTAAAGGCTTTCGAATTTGGTTTGACTAGCATAAACTCTCACGCTTAAGAACTCATCATATTAAAGAACAGCAAGTACTATAATGTAATTTTGATTTTATGGGTGGAATATCTTTTGTACTCTTTATTATAATAAAACTTATTGATTCATAAAAAAAAAAAAAAAGGCAAGTATCTTTCAAGAGAATTCTCATTAATTATGTTCCTGTTAGTCATGCAAGTTTCTCCCTATATTGCCACCTTGTCCATTACCTTTCTGCCTAGAAAACCTTCACTGACAAGTGGCTTGCCTCATACATTATGTATGCCCATTACATTAGGGATTTTAAAGATGCGTTTTCACATCACCTTGATTCATTTTTTTCTTTCTTAAATCCTACTTTTTTTTTAAGTGTTGGTTATAACACTAATTTTATAAACTTGATTTATAAAATAATAGTTATTTCTGTTTATCAATAGGTCTAATCAAACAAATTAATAGGAACCTAAGCATTTTGTAAGCATAAATATCTTAAAATTGTTTATTATTAAATTAAGTGATCGTTTATGGCTATACTAATCATAGGAAGACACGTTAGACTAAAGTAACCTTCATTAATTGTAAGGGATACCTTAATTAATTAACAAAAACTTATCCTTTTTCAGGTGGTTTGGTCCTCTCTGGCGAAAATATTCTATATTAATATAGTTATATGCTCCACACGTACACCACATTAAGGTATAAATATCTAGGAAGGCATTCAAAGAATCACAATATATATGAGGTACTTTAGGCCTTAAATTGTATTTTCATGTAACACACTACAAACATACAATATTACGCTTTCAAATAATGTAGTAAAAGGGTTTATTAATGTATTGAAGGTAGATACATATAACTGTCACCAAACTTAGTGCATAACACTTGGCATAATAAGACGTTGAGTTTGAATTCCCCTGCTCACGCGTGCCAGTCAAAAGGGAATGAGATAGAACGCAGTAGGATTGTTTTGTTTGATCTGGTGTGGTAAAAAATTAGTGAAAATATAAAGAATATTATGTCACAAATCATGGAATGTGATAGTGCATAATGCCTTATGCAATCTCACAAGAAGGCAACAATATGTGTCCACTTATAGGTTGTTAACTAGGGAGTTAGAGTTGCCGATCAAAAAAAAAGAAAAAAAAGAAAGAGAGGAGTTAGGGTCAGGATGGGGTCAGGATGTTGTTGCAGTAACAAATAATGGTTGAGGAGAAATCGCACTAACGTACCTTGCGTTTGAGTTGCTTTGTAGCTGTAATTTTTCTTGTAATATGTTTGTATTTGATAATTATTTTTGAAAATTATTATACATTTATATAATTATTAAAAAATATAAAATATTAATTAAAATAAATTTAATTATAACAAAAATATTTTT